GAAGAATTAATACCAAATAAAGATCTAATACTCACCGAGATGCGAGAGCAACTCATATCTACAACAACTCCAGTAGCTATTAGTATACCACCAGGTTCAGTGCTCAATATCTGAAAAGTTTAAAATTTATATTGTCATACCGTCAATTGATCATGACCATGAATAGAACCAAACATACAGCGCTTATAAGACAGCACTTTCAATTCAAACGATCACAACTCATACACTACGCTGAGCTGAAAGTGCAGGGGCGAAACAAAAAGTTCAGCTAATGAGAGGCTCAATGAAACTAGAAATTACTCTATTTGCAGGCAACTTATACAAACATAAGCCATGGCCCCAACTAAATCAGAAATTACTCCATTTTTTAAGAAAATATTGACTATTATTCTGCTTTTTGTTATTGAATAGTGAGAACTCCCTTTCCTCTATGAGCTTCACGAAGCGTAGCGGTCCCAAACCCAAGTAAAGCCCGAGGGTTTGACGCTAGTAGAGAATTACTAAATTTGTGGGATGATCCCAGAGCCACCAAGGCATGTGCTCCCTGATAGAGTGGAATGAATAAGAGGATTACTGTAGCTGACCACAACTAATTCAGGATCAAGGCATAGTTGATTCATTGAATTCTAAGAAGCTTCATTACTTCACCAAAATAACTAATTGAACTATTAGTTCAAGCCATCCAATTAATATATTTCACAGGGACAGGATCATGCAGTTTGCTATAGATGCATATAACTGCTCTGTCTCACTACTTTTCTCCTGGAGGCAAACAGATGATGTTACAACTATGGACAAGTAATTCTTGCTTCAGCTGATTGCTGTGAAAATATAACATTCAGGAGTGCATAAAACAAAAAGAATATGAGAAAGAAGAATACCACATAATCCCCATTCCTAAGTGAGGATTCAAACTTTTTCATAGGAAAATTATAACTATTAAGAGCATCTCCATCCTGTTGATGAGTGCCCAAGGAAGTCCAATCTCGATGTACAAAGTGATAAGTAAATTGATTTCCTTTGCAAAAGTTTGTTGGTGTGGTTCGTTCTGACGTATCAAGGACAAGAGAAGATAGAGCGTAAAGGTCATTCTTTGAACTTTGTGAACACCAAATTTCTTTCTTTGCAACCTAAAAAAAAAATTAACAAGTAAAGAGATATTGAATTGCCATGAAGTGATTTCTTAATTTACGGTCAACAATGAATTGTACCTCAACTTCTTTAGCCTCCAAGTCAATCAACTGATCCCATTTTTGAAGAAAATTAGTATGTACATTTGTTAGATGGCTAACAAGTGAATCAAACACACCGCCCAAACCGCTACCTTCTGTGGTGCCACCATATGCCTATGAAAATTTTCAGGATCCAGTAGTACAAGTTTTTAATTTCAACAAAGTCCCAATAATACTGAATATTGATGTTACCCATAATACGATGTATAAGCACAACTAAGATGAGAATAAGTATTTGGGCATACACCAAGAAAAGATGGCTGATTTTCATGTCAACATTGATTAGGCTCATATGGAAAACATGCATGTTGATTTATCATCCCCATTATTTTACCCATTTGGTTAACAAAAAAGGAAGCAATTTCTGCTCAATTGCAAATATGTTCCTTTAGTCCTTTCCACATTGCACACTGCAAAATGCTGACTCCTCATCGTTAGGCAAATTGATTCGTATTCAGAAATGCAGTTAGATTGCCTTGATTACATGTCTAGCTTCTTAGGCGCACCAAGTTTTGGCACCTTTGTCAAGAAAACTAAGACCTGACATAATTAGAATTCTAACACAGATGTTATAAATGCAATCTTTTACCTCAATTCAGGTTCCAAATAAGTACTAGTTGTAGCATAAATGTCAAAGTTTACAGTCTTTTGATATATTTCAGGAATCAGGCCTAATACTAGTATTCTAAACATGGCATTTGAGGCAATAACTTTCTCTTGATTGTTAATTACCCCTTCTTCTATCAGCAAGCACCTATGTTACTGTTACCACAGAGAACTACAGTGTGTGTAAGCATATTACCTCTGTATATTTATTTTGATGAAGATACCTCTGTATATTTATCACATGCACATTCGCCAACCAAAGGATTTAGTTACTGACTTCAACAATTCAACAACTAAGCTTCCTTCCTTTCTTCTATAGATGGTTTATCATCTGTGTTTCACAGAATCTCGATCATTTTGAAAGGAGAACATTTTCTTAGCATGGAGCAGAGGTAAAGATGCTAAAATGTTTTAGGATTGAACTGAGTAAACATGGAAGCCCCTTTAACCAATTATTTTGAAAATCTATATACGTAAAAGAGTACAATGGATGCTTGTCACTATGAAGACCCTGAGAACTTCTCAAATTACCTTATGATAAACGGTATAGACATTGAGGTGTCGACAGCCTCTGCACATATTTGGACTCTGCATCAAAAGAAAGAAGTCACCAGAATAATAAGTTACTAATATCTAGAAGATTTTGTTAAATGAGTTCCTCTTGGTGAGGTAATAAGCTAATTCAGTTTTCTGATCCCTTTTATGGTGTTTACTTATATTTAAGGCGATAAATGATTGATTGTGGCCTGGGATAGTGGTGGAAGATGACAACCATGCTTAGGTCTCTACAGGAAGAACTAGTATTCAATACTAATTATGAAGGTGTATTCAGAATGAACTACCCTTAGCGGGCAAAACATTCACCTTTATGAAGACAACCAAACCAAGGGGAGGGGGAGGATATATTTCAGTAGAGATTTTTATGCGGTACCAGACAGAACAGGTTACAGAATACAATTAAGAGCCTTCTAACCTTAACAATTTCTATAAATTTACAGGACTGTGCACGAACAGAAAATAATAGAAGGACACAAGGAAATGCGGTGCAGCCCTGAATGCTTAGTGGACAACACGCCATTATGTGGAAACTGATCAGCCACATATTCAATGACTAGACAGTACTAATGCAAAATATTCAGTTCTAGCAAACACTATCTGTATTTAACCCAAGTATAACAGGATGAGACGGAGATACCTTACCTGTAACATTGGTGGCAGTTGTTGAGTTATAGTGGTCTTGAGAAGATCATTTGCAAGTTCATTACGGCGCATTATTAGGCCAACCAAGTCAGATCGAACAGTAATTCCCTTGAAAAA